TTCCTTGCCTCTGGAATCGGAACAATTTGACCAAAGTTTCGCTGTTGGACACATCGAAAAGGGCAAGTGAAATTTACTTCGGTTGCCAACCGAGTCAAACACGTAAGACAAAAGGTGTGAGGGCAAACTGTTAACATTGGTTTTTGGAGGTGAGTTGATGGATCCAAAGGGACACAGAAACAAATAACACATTTGAAGCTTTCAATAGCTTCTTGATCTGTAAATCTTTCGGGATCGTATCCATTGATGGTCAAAGGTTCTGGTTCATCAAACTCTGGAAGTTGTTGAGCTTCAATTAGAGCTTGAATTGGGTCAGCAATGACAGCAACAGGGGGTTGGTAACCCCAATCCCAATCGCCCCAATTACGACGATTATTCCAATTCATGGAAGAAACAAATTTAAGGTTCACAAAAAAAATGAAAAACAAAGTAAACAAAATAAGCAAAATAAACACAAATTTAAACTATGTGAAAATCTAAAGTATAATGGAGGGAATCGATTAAGTTTCGGTTGTCAACCGAATGGTCAGTCGTCTTAGTAATAATGGATTGTTGGCGATTAATTAAACTAATTAAGCGCTTATTATGAATTAATTATTTAGTGGATAATCTAAAATTCTCTTTTCTGAGTTTAAATTTAGAATCTTCGATTTTACTAAGTTTATTAAACTTGTAAAATTCTGTAGGGTAGTAGTCCAGTAGGTTGCCAACCTCCATTCCATTACCAAATGTTTTATCGTAATCTTTTCTGTAGACAGGGTTGGTTATAATAATATTATAAATTGATTCAGTTGGCAACTGATCAAAATCAATGAATTTATTTTCTAATTCAAATTGATCTTCCACTGAAAGTTTTGTATCATTGAAATCTGGTTCCGATGATTTGGGTGATTTTAATCCGAATTTCGATTGATTCGATTGTTGGTCTTCTTCTAAGCAGAAATCAGCATTATTTTGAGAAACTTTATCTGTTTGGATTTCAGTTGGTAACTGAATATTACATTCAATGGCAGCGTCTTGAATATTCTTGATCAAACGAGTAATCTTTTCTTTATAAGCAATCATAATTGGTAATTGATTAATAGATTCTCGAATAATTTTAACCAATTTAGAGAAATCATTTCCAGATTCAGTTGGCAACTGATTGATATTTTCTGTTGGTAATTGATACGGAGACCAAAGATCGATTTTGATTGTTTCACCTTTATATTTCATAGTGATGGTATCACTTCCGTAATCAATTATAGCGTTGAATTTTCTGAAGAAATCAGAACCAAGTAATATAGGAATGTTGACTTTTGATAATACACAAAAATTAACAGGAACCAGAGTATCATTGAATTTCACACAACATTCAACCATTCCCAATGGTTTAATTGAAGTTCCGTCGGCTAATTTAACGTTGGTTGATAACCAAGGTAGCATAGGAAGATTCAATTTAATGGTTGTTTCTCTTGACATTACAGAAGTAGCAGCGCCAGAATCAATTAAAATTCTTCCAGGTCTATCATAAATTTTTCCAATGATAATAGGGCATTTAGTTTTACCAGAAATTGAATTGATTTTGTAGTCTAGTTCATCAAACATAAAATCATCTGCATAATTGTCCATCCTTAACTTATTCTGATCAAGTGTTGATAACACTCGATCCACCGTCTTAATCTTTTCATCGATTTGATATCCAATGTAGGTCATAATTTCTTCCTTGATGAGAATCAGCGATTCTTAATCTCTTTATATTTTTGTTGTTTTCTTAGCAAGACAAAACGAATTCTTGACGTCGATTTACTTGTTATTGTTGTCCATTACTTACAATACCACGAAAATTAGGTTGACGTTCCTAGGACCCACGTTATCCCTAGACTTCAACTTTACTTTTCCTAAGGGCGAATTTACGTTCCTAGGACCCGCGTTATCCCTAGACTTAAACCACCAATTCAATTAACCTTTCTGTCCAACGGACCTGGGACCTTTGTTACCCCAGACAATGGAGAAACACAGGGGACAAATGAAACTATAGTGGGCACTATACACACCCCACCAACAAAATGGCTCGACCGCGAGCTGCGAGAAAGACGAGGAATCTCCACCAAATGTTATGGTTTTGTGAACCATAGGGAACAAAATAACATAAAGAGTTACTAACTCTCACACTTATTGAATATTCTTAAGCACAAACATTGAAACACAAGATCAATTACTAAGAATAAGTTGGTTACGTGTTACCAACACGTATTAATTAACTAATCGAACATAGTTGAATAAGAAAAAGAAAAGGAACTTTAATTAGAAGTGATTAGATATAAAGATAAACTAAGACTTGACCAAGGATGAGTTGGATAAGGGTTTAAATACAAAAGAAAAGGAATGTAAAAAGGAAAAGGAAACAAGATAAGAATGTAAGTGAAGTGTTGATTCCCTTGCTGATTGGTTGGTAACCAATCAGCTATTTAAAGCTAAGTCAGAGGTTGAAAGTATTTAACAAAAGAAAGGGGATAAAGAAAGAGACAATTGTTAAGGTTCCGTAGTCAAGGTAATTATGATGATGTTGGCAACATCATCAATGGTCAACTTTTAACCGGGTGTCACAATAAATCATAACATCATGTATCTTAATCATCATCATCAGCATCATTTGGTTGTACGATTCATTGATTGCTAATCAATCACACCGACAATTTGAAAATGATTATCTCCAACAAAGTAAATTGTTATCCCTTGACGTTGGGTAAAAGTCAAAATAAACAATCAAGTTGATCACCAACAATTAAGTGTTAATTGTTATCCTTTACAATGAGAAACCTTTGATTATCAATAAGTTTTTTTCATCATCTAATCAATACTAATATTCATCCATTATTTTTCCTCGTAAGTATTAATAATAATAACAATTAATATTCAACTTGATTGAATCTTAATCGTTTAGTTGACAATAAAACTACATCATAATTGAATTAACTTACAGGTAAAAGGTGTAGACAAACAATTAAATCAAGTGTAAATCCTTGAGTGTTAATCGTGTTCATCACTAATATTGAATTACTTTGTAAATTGTTGGAAATTGTGACAAAATTTGAAACCATTTAAATTGCGAATCTTAGATTTGAATAATCAAGTAAATTGAGATGATAATAAGTGATGATGAGGGAGTGGATGTGGTGAAGTGGGAGGAAGATGAAGATGAAGATGAGGATAATATGAAGCCTCGAAATTAACAATTAGCTGAATGAGCGAAGGAAATTAAAAGGTTGATTCGAATTGCGTGTTGGAAGATAAAGAGAAAAATTAAAAGAAATTCTCTCTCTTTCTCTCTTCTTCTTCTTCTTCTTCTTCTTCTTCTTCTTCTTCTTCTTCTTCTTCTTCTTCTTCTTCTTCTTCTTCTTCTCGTCATCATAATCATCATGAAGAGATGCAAATAGCATATGTTGGTAAGAATAGTAATTTAATAAATCAATTAATTGTCTATCAAATTAGGTGGCGGATGATCACTCAAGTGATGAAGGAGAAAAGTGAAAGAAAAAAGGAAAATCATTTTCTCCTTTTCCCTGATCATCATCTCTTCATCTTCATCATGTTGTTGTTTACAAGATGAAAAGATGAAGATAATGCATAATGAAAGATCATCCAAAGGATGATAATCATCATCATCATTATCATCTTCTTCATCAATGATACTTAACAGGTGACATTGTATCGTTATCAATGGTAACTTATGCTTTAGTTTAACGACGATGATGATGAGATGATGATGATGATACTTGTCTTTTACAAAGGATGATAATGATGATAATAATTAGAAGATTTAAGATGATAACTAGGAAGATGAAATCGTCTTCCGTCTGTGTCGACATGTTTCTTTCTTTTCTCTTTGTTTTTCTCTCAGCTCGATTTTCTTACCGTTTCCTTAAAGTTTTACTTTTCTTTTTCGTCTCAATATCGACTTCTTTTGTTATCAAGATGATGATGATAAAGAAAGAAGAGGAAAGGAAAGAGGATGAAGATGATGATGATATCTTTCTTTCTTTCTTTCTTTCTTTCTTTCTTTCTTTCTTTCTTTCTTGTCATCATCTTAAGGAAACATAAGCTTCGGGTTTTGGGCTGGGCCACGTCGATATGGTTCGATAGCACTTACACCTAACAATCTCTCTCTCTCTCTCTCTCTCTCTCTCTCTCTCTCTCTCTCTCTCTCTCTCCTTTCACTTTCTCAGGGACATTAAGAGACACCATAGAACCTAAGAAGATGTAAATGTCTCCCACTAAATGGATGATAAAAAGAGAGAAAGAAATTGGGAGGAAGATGAGGGAGTTGATGTTTCCTACTTTTCTTTTGTCATCCTCATCAATTTTTACCTCTCTTCTTATTGTTGACCGTTTCTTACCTGTTAAATTTTGATTCCTTTCATTATGATGATGATAATTAGTAGGTTGTCATAATAATCTTGTTGTTAATTGTCACCAAAACAAAGATGAATCTGAATTAACTACCTGCTGATGATCAACATTATCTTTTTTTTTCAAGTTCTTCTTGTCAATTGTTTCCAACAATTAGTCAACTAATCAACAGTTTGTAATGGTCATCAATTAACATCAATTTGTCTCATTGTTTATGTTAATTGTTAATCAAAAGTATGATAATCATGTTGAGACTTTTTGATTATGATAATTAATTGTTAGGTATTAAAAAGTTTGAGCTAAAACTTTTGGGTGTGTTAACTTAATCATTAGATTAATTAAAATGTTGTGATTAATTTGTTTTTCAACAATTTAAAATTTTTCATGCAAATAATTTAAAAAAGGACAACACAATTTAATGGGAAAATTATAACACGAATGATAATTAACGAGAAAATGAAAACCACAATTAACTTTGATTATCGCGAATCTAAAATTATCTCATTAATTAAATGGAAAGTCAATCATGATTAAAATTGTGGAAAAACATATTGCACAATTAACCATTAACATGGAAAATTAACTAAATCAAAGTTAACTTTAATCACTAATTGTTAACCTTTGGAAAGTTTAATCAAGATAATTAAACCGATTATTACAATGAAAACATATTGCAAATGGATTAAGTTTACAGGGTTAATTATTTAAGGGAAAATTTTAATCACAATCAATTCTGATGATCAACATTAAGTTAATATGACATTATAATGATAACTGTTATCAAGGGGAGAGGTCAGGGGTCAAAGGTGTGGTCAAGGTGAATTGTCCCTATTTTTAGGGCTCTAATTGTGAGTAATTTAAGACAATTTAAAATTGTTGATTAACATGAAAGTTGATGATGATTAGTATGATTGGGAAAACGCCTTGTGAACAAAAGTTTAATCATCTTAATCAAAATAATATTCATAATTCATGATTAACTGTTAATCAATTGAGTTGATTAGAATCAACAATTTACTGGCCCTGCCCTTGTAACAATCAAATTGATTATTAACTTGAACATTTGGTTAATTGTTGAAACTTTGGATAGGATTAGTTTGTGTTTGTTTTTAGTAAAGTTAATTAGTCAATGTTAATTATAAGGGATAATGATTAAGGAGATGATTACAACAATTAAGATTGAAAAGTTAACCTGAATTCATCCTTTAATTTGATTATGATTATTTTGACTTTTTTGTCTTTTAATTTAATTATCCTTTCCATATATAAGACACTAGATATGATGGTTATTATCACCATCATTTACTTTGTTTCCAAATTAAATTGTCATCATTATGATTATGATTGTTGGTGAAAAAAGGTCAACAATTAACTGACCTGCGGCTAACCGGTCACTTGATTATGTTGATGATGAAGATGAAGATGAAGATGGGAAGATGAGAGAGGAAAATGTGTCAGTTACATGAACAAGAAAAGAGAGATGAAGATGAAAAATGAAGATTATCTTAAATCTTTAAATATCTTTCTCTTAATTGTTAATTAGACAATAAAATGTCTTCTTCTCACACAAACAATTTAAATTAAAATCTTAAAACTGAGGTAGCAATGACCTAACAGTTTTCTAACAGAATTTAATTTTCTCCCCTTTAATTATCAGACTTTCAAGTTTTGTCTTTTCCAAAAACAAAAGTTAAATCATTATCACGATAATTTAGTAATAAAACATTATTAGTATGTAATTGGTTAACTAATTGTCGTTGGAGTTGCTGTTAATTGATGATGGATCCACTTGTTGAGTTGATTGTTTTACCAAATTGAAAAGTATTTTCATTCTTGTTCAAAGGATTGAATTGTTGATTTGGTGGCTTTTTAGTGGATGGTCATGATTTTCCAATTGATTGTTGATCAAATTGATTGACAATTAAATTTAATTGTTTGGATAAGTAGTGACATCTAGAGGAGGAAAAGATTAATTCACTTTTTGTTACGTTTAAACCTTGACCTCTACTGGCATCTGTTGATATTTAGAGTAACTTTTTTTTGTGGTTAGTTAATTGTTATAAATTGATAATCTTGAAGTTTGGAGGATTTTCACCTAAGGCAACATTTGGGTTTACAAATAGATTTAGATGAGGATGGACACTGATTATGACCTTTGTGATGAGATTGATTAATGTTGATTGAATGGTAATCATTGTCGGGATAAAGCTCGTTCATTATAAGTATCGTCTTCGTCTGTCATTAGAGTTGTTTGTATTTACACATTAAATTGATTCGATTTTTGGGTTTCTTTTTGATAATTTAAGCTTCTTCTTCGTCGATCGGCATTTGTTCCAAAAGAAGTTCCAAAAAGAAGAGAGAACAAACTTGCAGGGAAGGTTGATAACGTTGGCGAAAAAGGAGTAAATATTAGCACCTCTAAGCGGCTCTTTACCATCCGGATCAGATCCAATTACAAAGATGAAATAGATTATATTTAAACCAATGATTATCTGTCCAATTATTAATAAAACTCTGATGTACCGTAGAACCTCAGCCCATTCCCGGTAAAGTGAAACCAGAAAAAGAGGTAAAATCACAAGGTGTCCACAAGAATACCAAAGGTAACGAAAAGCACCAAAAGCAGTGAGTAAAACAAGAAAACTGATAACTTGAAGAAGCGTATTTAATAAACCAAGGAACATTAGCTTTTCCTTGAGACATTGTTCAGTCTCTCTCCATTTGGAGCAACTAAAAAATTGAAGAAAAAAAAAAGAATAGAACAAAACAAAAAGAACAAAATTAACAAGTGATTTTTTCGGTTCCACCAAAAGAGAAAAAGAAACCAAAATAAACAAATGATTCCAACGAAATATACTCACTCAAAAATGATAGAAAATCGACTAAGCATCATGTCCACTTGAATCGAGTTTAATCAACACCAAAGGAAAAACAAAAGAACAACAATTAAGAGTCACAATTAAAAAAAAACGGAACAAAAATCAAGTTGACAATTAAAAACGAAAAAGAACAAAATAAAGATACTTAGTATCTACTATCGGTATCGACTCCACAGCTTTGGTGAGAACATTTTCGAATCCAGATAACAGATACTTGAAGAATATCTTTTTAGCTTTTGCAATCAACAAAAATGAAAGAATAGAAAAAAATTCTTACCCATAAAAAGAAGTGAAAAAAAAACCAAACAATTAGAAAAGACAATTGAAAATTGAAAAGGTAATAAATGTTAACTGTTGTAAATTGTTAAACTATAAATCAAAAAGAAAAGAGAATCAAATAAATCATAATGAGAAAGCATAATAATGTGTGAGTAGCATGAATTTTAAAATGTACCAATAGTTAAATTGATTGAGAAACAATAGTTTACCTTGATTAATATTCCCCATCAACAATTAGAGGGTTTGGTTTGATTTAACTTGCAACGAAATGAATATAGATCAACAATTAAATCTAAAGTGAAATCAATTAGAAAATAAAAAAAGAGAAACAATAACAAATTTAATGCGAAAAAAAAATTGGAGGGAAAAAAATAGTTACTCATTTGTCGTTGTTAAGAGTAACCAATGGGTTAACATTTTCTTTGTTTACATTTTGTTTTCTTTTCTATTTTTTTTTATTGTTAATCAATTGATTTAATTTCTTTTGGATAAATTAGTTAATTCAGCGATTCCAATTAATTCTAATCCAACGTAATAATTGTTTTAATTTTCTTTCTATTGTTTTCTAATAATATTCCTGTGAATTCATGTTAACCATTTTTCTGTTTTTCTTTGTTTGTTTTTTTCTCTATTTGGAAATTGATTGTTTCTAATTGTTTTGGTGATTAATTGACAACGAATATTATTTATTGTTCTCAATAGATTGTGATTCGGGAAAATTTATAGATATTTATATTCAATTCGCTAAATTATTGGTACAATGTGAGGTCTATGGTCTATTGTTTTGGCAAAGGAAAATTTATCCATTGGTGTGTATTATTTACTCCTTAGATTGAGTAATTTAAAACCGTTAAACTGATGAGAGAGACAAAGCAACAATATTGGAATTACAATAATTAACATTGGAAAAAAAAAGACAGACAAAGATAATGTTGACAAACACAAAGAGAATCAAGAACAACAATAACAACGACAACAATCAAGAAGAATCATCATCTTGGAATTGGACCAAAATCTGAATATGAGAATTAGAAGAGAGAAAAAAAAAATGTTAATTGTACTTCTTAAATTACAATTCATTGTTGGTGGTTTTCTCTTGTTCTTTAATTCCAATTCTAAACAAGAAGAGAAAAGGAAAGAAAATAATCTAAAACAATGTTGAAAATTTAATTCTCCATGAGGGTGATAGAAGTGAAAGAAATTAATCAACTTGAGAAAATCTCCTTAATCAGGTTAGTTGATTTTCTAATAATCACATATCACAAACACTCACAGAGAAAATGTGATCGATTGTAATTACTTAACATTGATTATATTTTTTTTTCTTTCTATAGTTAATCATCAAGCCTCTTATGTGTCCATCAATCAATTGACCGAAAGTTAATTATTCAAATTGTTAACCAGAAAATTCAAAAAAGGAAACCAAAGGAAATTCTCACCGTTACCATGAAAACCATTGGGAATCCAAATTAATCGATAACAATGTTATGCGCAGTTAGTTAATCATTTTCTTCTTGGTTGACAATCTTTATTTTTTTCTTCTCTGATTTGATTATTACCTTTGTAATATTGAGAATAGTTGATTCACAATCAAAGGAGAAAAGAATTAAACCTTTTCCTCTCTCTCTTTATTTTCCCAATCAAAGGAGAGAAAAAACCGATTGATGATGTGAAAGAATGAGAATCTTTCATTATTATTGTTCGAAATGTAATAATGTTAACCTTTTCTTTTTCTCTTCTAATCAATGTTTTCAATATTCTCTTCACCATCTAAATTAACTGTTCAATCAGCAATTCAACTAATTTTCCATCTCGCAATTATTGTTACAATTTAACTTTTTCCTCTAAAACCCTAATTGAAATTGTTCATCACCATTAATCTGATTTTCCCTTTTTAAAGAAAAACAAAATCAGTGAGATATTCATATTGATATAAATTCAATTCAATGAATTTAAAGCTATTGGAATGATTTTCGCCACGACTCAGCAAAAATCAAGGTAAATAATCAATTAATCTCATTGTCTCGTCAACAATTAACTATGGAAAATCAATTCACCTTCACTCCCATTTTTTCAACATCTTAATATTTTCAGCTGATGACCAGAAATCTAACCTTGTTTACTTTTTCACTGTTAATTCATTTTCTACCTTGATAATCAGCAGGTTAACCTGGAAAAAGATTTCTAATTGTTAAATATATACAATAAAATTAATGCAACTATAAGGTAAGACTTACAATTCTAATAACAATTAGTGATTAATTGAGCAATTTTTCTTACTCTTTGCAGCTTCATGGGTCTTCCAAGATTAAATTACTTAAATAATGTTTACAATTGGTCTAATTATGCCATTACCATCTCGATCATCATCATCTCCACCATCTTCCTTAATCAATTACAATTAGGTGATTATCTATAGACACACACATACACCAATTTATAGTCAACAATCAACAATATTATTAATACAACAAACGATTGACCAACAAAGCATAAATATATTGATGAGAATAAGGGAAAAGGACTAATATTGATTAGTCTTGTCAATCGTTTTTAAATGTTTTTCATTTTGATTGTCAACACAATTAATTGATTGTTCTCTCTCTCTCTCTCTCTCTCTCTTCCCAAAGCCTATGGTATTAGCTGTTTTAGCTGCTCAAGTCGTAACTTAACTCATTCACCTTGTCATGACCCCTTTCACCCGGCAAATGTCACCTACATTCAACATTGTAAGATCGGAAAGGAAAGACACATTGGTCAATTTCCGGCAAGTTTTTGTGTCAAAGTGAAAGGACGAAGTGGTCAGTAGTTACGAAACTTGAATCTTTCTATCTTCATTCATCTTTCATTTACTATTAATTTCTCTTCTCGTTAATCACAATTTAGGTGCAACTAATGAGGAATTGGTAATTCGTACTTGTTCAATTGAAAACATGGATAATCAATGTGGTACATTTAAATTTAATCGCGAAACTTTGGCCGGTTGTATATTAACCTGTTCGACTGATGGTTGTAATAACTCATCAAATCTTAAATTATCTTTTTGGACAATTACCATTCTTCCAATTCTATGGTCACTTACATAATTTATTTATCTAAATATTTAATTAACTAATTGCAATCATTTATTTCAAATGATTTACCTTTTTGCTTCTTCTTCACCTTAACACAATTTCCACATTTGGAAAATGGATTCTGACAATTGATTAATTATCGGAAACTTATAACGAACATGATGAAACAATTTACCTTTAATTGTGGATAAAGTGAAGGAGCAATAGTTATTAAACTAATTAAATGGAACCAAAAAAGTCAACAATTAATCAAATGCAATTTAAAATGCCTGATTAAATAATTGACCATCTCTAACTAACAACAAAAACAATTAAGAAAACCATGTAAACAATTATAAATATTACCAATTGAAGAAAAATATTTAATTGTTACTAAAATTGTTTCAATCATCTTTTACAGAGTTTAATTAACAATTAATTAATCCTGTAATACGATTGTAATTTGTTAATTCAATAGGTTAGTTAATTGTAACAAAAAAAACCAAAACAAAGCAAAAACCAAATGAGCAAACTATTAATTAAATAACATTACTGCTAATTATATAAAATTTTAATTCTAATTAAATTAATATAAAAGCTTCAATTGTAGATTGAGTTTTTTTATTACCGAGAAAAAAAACAAATTAATTAATTGTGAAAAAAAAGTGTAACAATTAATTTGAATGAAAATGTCAAATTGTTCAAACCATTTGAATATTACTTTATTATTAAGTGTTGACAATTTGATTTTTGCAATTAACACAATTATCTGGCAAAAGTTGGGTGATGATAATCAGTTAATCCAGTTGATCATAACCTAGACTAACAATGTTGGTATTGGGACAATCAACTAACAATTAACACCTTTGTTTTCAACTAATGAGAGGCAACAACAAACATAATTGTTGACGGATCACCAAACAACCAGAAAGATAATCATCTCCATCCTCATCCTCCTCATCATCTTAATCATGAACATCACCATCACCATCATCATCTTCATCCTCATCATCATTATCATCTTCATCTTCATCATCTTCTACCTCGAGTTGATCATCATCATCACGGGAAGATGACAAGAAACTAAGGAAACCTTTTCATTGAGACAAAATTGTTTACTGTTATTTAACACTCGCTTGATAATCAAGATAATTATATTTAATTGTTTCAACAGTAACAATTAATAAATTTTACTGATTAATATGATTTACAATTAGCCAACAGGAACAACAACAAAGGGACAAACTTATGTACAATCTAATGAAAGGTTCAGGTTTCATTTGATGAATTCAAGAGTTGATGTAATGGAAATGATTAATTTTGATTACGTTCAACAATCAAGAGACAATTGATCATATATTGTAACAATCAATAAGTGGGTATGATTAGTATGCATATAGTTGGATAACTTGTTGGAATTATTAATAACAGTTGAAGGCAAACAGATTATCTTGACAATTAAAGTCTTGCAGTGTTTTCATTGTTCTGGATTATCTTGAGGATTAAGTTAATCCAGTGATTATTGTATTGTTATAATTATCATCTGATTTGGGTGGCATTTTGATGAGCAATTTAAAGTGAAAATGTAATTTAAAACCTTAATGACAAAAGTGAATTTAATCACAATTGTAATGATCATAATGGTTATTACAACGAGAAAAAAAAACGAGAACAATTTAAATTTATAGCTAATTGTAACTGTGATCAATGAGCCTGTTGATGATGATGATGAAGATAATCATCTTTCTTGCTCATTGACTTAAGATCAGTTAATGAAATATGATTACAATTGCGATTAACAATCTTAATTGTGTCTCGAGACTCAAGGAGGAAAATGAGAGGACCAAGTTAATTGTTGATCTCGTGTTCATATGTTTCTAAAATTATGACAATCAAGGTAGAGAAAAAAAGAGAATAGAGAAGATGATCTTCCATGAAGTAAGATGATGATGAAGACGAGGATGAGGATGAAGATGAAGATGAGGATGAGGATGAGGAAGATGAAGTTCGTTTAAAAATTGTAGCCAAAACAATTTAAAAAACTTTCGGCTCACTTTCGTTATCATCTTTTCTCATCATCTCTTCATCAAAGATGCTCTTTGTTTTCATCTTTTCGCTCTCATCATCATCATCATCTTCACTTGTCTTCCTCTCTCAGAAACTTTGGTAAAAGGTTCTGATTAGAACATAAATTGTCTTCGAACTAAAAAGTTGATGTTTCACAATTTCGATCTTTTTCTCCTTTAGTGTTACCATGAAATCTCAATCTGATTTAGAATCTTCATCTTCATCATCTATTAATTGTTCTGTTAATCATTCGGTTAGTTCAGCTTCAAGTTCGAATAGTTCTAGTTCTAAAAGACTACTTCGAACTCCAAAATGTGCTCGATGTCGAAACCATGGTGTCGTTTCTTGTCTCAAAGGCCACAAAAAGTATTGCCGTTGGCGAGAATGTAATTGCCCCAATTGTTTACTTGTACTCGAACGGCAAAAAGTAATGGCCGCTCAAGTGGCCTTACGAAGGTCAGTTTTCATTTTCTTCCATTGAATTGATTGTCAAGATTGTCTCTTTTATCTTGATTAACTTTTAATTGCCATTAAAATGATTCAATTTTTTCTTCTTCCGCTTTTTAGACATCAAGTTTCTCGACAATCAACTGATCGGTTTAATTGTGATCTAATTAGATCGAGCAATTATAATTCTAATCATCGGTCACGTTTTGAACAATTTAAAGGATCGAGGAAAACAACCCAATTAACTGAGGAAACTTTAATTAAACAGAAAAAGTCTTACCAGCGACAATTAAGATCACTTCAACGATTGTTAAGAAATGAAATGTTAAATCAAAAGCGACAACAACAATTAACTCAATCATCAATTGTGATCAATGATGAAAAGGATAATCATTACAATGAATCAATGAGATCGTTAATTAGACGGAGAAAATGTTTCATAAATGATTTAAAAGATTCAGTTACAATTGATTATCAACAACAACAACAACAATTAACTAATTGTTTCCAACTAAGTAATTCACTTTCAACAACAACGACAGCAGAATTGACAGTTAACAACAACAATTTAATCTCTAATTCGGTTCCATCTACTACCATACCTAATCTTAATAGTTGCTTAAATAATCACTTCAATTTAAACGAAATTAAATCATCATTAGTTAATTGTTGTGGTAAAAGTTCAATTGAAACGAAAAGGATTCAACCTATTGGATTATATGTTTCAAAGAAATTTAGCTCATTTACTGTAAATGATATTCTTAATTGTTAACCTGTTAATTTGTAAAATCTTCAAAATGTTTCATTTAAATTGTCAGTTGAAAAAAAAGTAATTAAATTGATTGACAAAAAAATTTGATTATCTCTTTAAAAGTTACTTAATATCCCAAGAGATGGCGCCACTTACCTCGAAAAGAAAAAAAATGTAACATCTATTCGGACGCACCAGATGGCGTAAGTGTCTATTCTCAGCTGAATTTCAATTTTGTTGGAAATTTTTTCTTGATTAATTTGGTTAATTTGTTAATATTTAAGTTAATTAGTAAATCTAATTACAATTAATTAAATTATCTCTTTCGCTTGCTTAGTTTCCACTGATAGACTATTGTCAGTTTATTCAAGTAAGAAGGTCAAAGGTATGATACGAAAATGTTATTGACTCTTTTTATTTTGTATTCTCGATGACAAGAAATTAATTTTCTAGACTAATGGTTAATTATTTTAGAATTAATTTAATTTTCTTTTTTGATTCTTTTTTTTCCTCTATTCTATTCTATCCTTATGTTGGTGTAGGTTCACTTTACCATGGAATCTAGTTGATAGGATTTGGAATAATTTGGAGGTCATTTCTATCATTCACTTATCTTCCCATGTTGTTGGTTCAACTAACCCTATCCCAGAGCTTTGATTAAGGAATTTTCTTGTCTATTGAAAAGGTATTTTGTTTTCCATTGAACAATCGAATGAAAAATTTTACTCAACCATTGATCTTATTCATGATGTTTTCAATGGTTAAATTTACAGGATAATTGTAATTTTGTGCTAATCTTAGTAATTTTGGTTGATCATCTAGAGAGTTGTTACTTTGCTTTTACTCTTTCTATCTCTCTCTCTCTGTGAATGTTTTACTTTTATTTTCCATTTCTCTCTTTCACTTCTCTCTTACAGCAAAAGTAAAGTTAATTAAAGATGTTGTTAACTCTAAATCTGTACCAACCATCATCATCAACAACAAACAGTATATCGGAAGAGTGGAAAGATAGGGAGAAAGAAGAAAATTCTGACATTCATTTCTACAATAATTCAATGGAAAGAACAAAAAAGAATCTCACCAATCTTCACCACCCAAAGAATAGGAAAAAGTAAATTCAAGTCAAAGGAGAGCTAAAAGAAAAGAACAAAAAAAAAGAGCAAACTACAAACTAATCAGTTGAAGCAAAAAGCAAAGAACAAGCTTATGGATGATAAAGATGAAGGAGAAAAAAGAGACACACAGAGAGAGAAAAGGAGAATCATAAAGAAGAAACGAGGAGGAAGAAAAAAAAACAGTTTCCATGAAGGAAAATGAACACGAAGGAGGAAAAAAAAGTCCGCCATTTTATGGAATCGAAGAAAATGAGAAAGGATGAAGATGGAAAAAGAAGCAGAAAAGGAGGTGGAAGTAGCAGCGGTGGTGGTGGGTGAAGATGAAGAAAACAGAGGACAGAGAAAGAGAGTGGATGAGGATGAGCAGGAGGTGGAAGATGAGAGTGAGTAAACATGAGAGAGAGAGAGAGTAAAATGAATGTTGAGTCTGGATAAAAGTTTTTCAGATAATAATAATAGTAATATTATTATCCTATTGGGATCTATTAGAGAAAAAGAGAGAGAGAGAGAGAGAGAGAGAGAGAGAGATGAGAATGATGAGGATGAAAAAGATGAAGAAAAAAAAACAGCAACAGAACAAAAAATAATCTGTAATAGTTTGTAAATATCAGAATGATCCTGAAAAAAGAAGAGCCCAAGAAGATGATCACAATTAAGGAGACAAATCAAACCTACAATTGGAATACAGATTCACTCACCAATTCAACTAATCACTAGAAAGTCAAAAATGATGTTGATCAAATTGTTCATTCATCAAAACATCTCAATCACACTAATCACTAATCATTATCTTCCATTTAATAATGAAGTGTTAATTTGCTTCAATGATAATCTATTCCCTATTAACAATTAACATTACAAATTCATAATTAACATTGAAAGAAACACGAAGAAAAAATTTTCTCTTGTTGCTTTTCATCATCATTATTATTATTATTACATATTCTAATTGTTGATGAAAGAAAATAATTAAGTTAATTACCTTTTCATCAAATGTGATCTATTTGGTATTATTAATTATAATTTAATTTGATGAACATATTGAGTTTATCATCAGATTATTTTAAACTGCTGTTAATTATGTTCATTGTTATAAATATACAAGTTGAGTTGTATTAATATACTAATACAATTAAGATGATTAACTTGACCTGTCATTTAATTTATCAACATGATCAAAGTTAAATACTATGATGATGATGATGATGATGATGTTGATTGTTGTTGATCAATCTACAGATTGATTGAAACAATAGACATTAAAACCAGTTGTTAATTGTTATCATGATAATTGGTTGAAGAAACAAAAAACAGTATCGTTCAGTTAATTATGTTTAATTGTGTGTATTTCCCTTATTAATGATAATTAAACAAGAAACAAATCAATCAATTGTAATCATAAACTGTTAACTACGTAGAAACGGCACCAACAGTGTTAGTTAATTGTTCCCAAAGCTGTAACAACAATTAGTAGAAATGAACAATTAAAACCATAGATAAACAAGGTAAAGAATATGATATGAAATTAGCTGAAGAAAACGAGATGAAATCTTCCAACAATTAACTAAATTGTTACAATTAGAAAGTTTGAAAGAGAAACGATCAAGAGAATTGAAAACTTTTAGAGAAAAAAATTTCTTCTTTTCTAACAATTGAATTCCAATTGTATTGAGAAATCAATTGATTCTTAAATTGTTCAATGGTGATGATGAAGATGATCAGTGAAGAGACTGAGAGAGAATAGGAAATTATCATCTTCCTTGAATGAAGAGAGAGAGAGAGATGAAGATGATGAAGATAAGGATGTTTCTTAGAGCTCGAATTCTGAGATTATTTTATATTCAATTACGATAGAAGCGTTTGAATAACAAGGAAGTTTATTGAGAAGATGATGATTATCATCATTCTGATGATCAATTCAATCTTAACAATAGCATCATCATCATCATCTTCATCCTCATCATTATCATCTTGATATCTATTCAGTTGCAAGGTGATCCTTGTACTCTGATGATAATAGATTTTTGGATTAAATGAAAAAATGATAATCGCGAATTTAAAAAGTAAATTGAACAATTTTTGGATTAGTTTTAAATGAGAGTTATTTTTATTAATAATTTGTTGTTGTGTTTAAACGAGAGAGTTTAAATTGTTGGTTTAATTGTTTGTTTTGTTGTTGATTTGCTTGTTTGTTGTTACAATAAATTGTGAATCAAATTGTGTTTTCATTTAATATAATATAATAGAGAGAGCGAGAGAGGGAAAGAGAGAGGAAGATGAGGAAGATAGAGAAAAGATTGTGATACAATAAATTGTAATATTATTTGATTGCCGAAGAAGAGAGAGAGAGAGAGAATGATGAGAAGATAGAGTTAGGGAGAGATGGAAGATGGAGAGATAATCAAGGTAGAACCAGAATTTTCTTCCTTTTTTCTATCCACCCACCGAATAAGCTTTTCTATCATGAGAAAGAGGGAGAAGAAATTGAAGTGGGAGTGTTTTCTGGAGGTGGTGGTGGGTGAGAAGAAATAGAGAAGAGAGAGAGAGAGAGAGAGAGAGAAGGGAAGTGATTGATTTACACGACATTTTGTTTACGATTAACTGGCATGAATGTCCATAAAGTGTTGACCTGAGCTTCCATCATAAGGTGAGCTTTGAGGAGGTAGTCCAGGGTGTCCCATAGGTCCATGGCCCATCATCATGGCGGGATGTGGGTGGCCTATTATATATATAAGTGTGTATGTGTTGTATGGTGGTGGTGAAGATGATGATGAGAGAGACAGAGAAGGGTAAGAAATAAATAAAGAAAAAAAGAAAGAGAAAAAAAAATTGGGAGATGATTGGTGATTTAAGGAATGGCCACCGACATCATCATCATGATGTTCAGATTGGATTAGATTGATGATGAAGATGAGAAGAAGGTTTCTGCATTGAAGAGGGTGGAAGGTGGAGGATTAGGAAAAGGATAAGGTGAAGGTGGAAGTGGAAGTGGAAGTGGAGGTGGCGGTGGCGGTGGGGTTGTGGTTATATATAAGTGAGAGTGTGTTAAATTGTGAGTGAGACTGTGTTGTTAGGTAATATGATTTTGAGGTTTTCGCTTTTGAGTTAAAAAGCAACTGATTTATTTTTCTATTGGAAAATTATTTCATTAGATTTATAAATTACCTGGTGGTGTAAATTGCTGGGAACCATCCATCATATATCTCATGGTTCCGTCTGGATTATAACCAGGACCAGCACCAGGAATACCACCTCCCAAATCTGAAAAGGGAAACGGAAACAACAACAGAGAAACAAATTAACAAAATGGAAAATCAAAACAAAAAAAGTTCATCAACTAATCAACTAATTATCAGCAAACTACTCACCGGCTCTATTAGATTGATCAATCATTGGTTGGACAATACGTCTTCTAGCATTGATAAACCTGTAATCACAATCAAGGTGTAAACAATTAGTAAATCACAAATGGATGGAGAGGAAAATTGAATAGAGAAAAACTTTTAGCAAAACTTTTTTTTCTAATGAAATAAATCATTTAAATGTACCGATGATGATGAAGATAAAGGATGATAAATGGATTGACAAAATCAAGAAATGGTGACAATATTTTACTTTTTACCCGGTGGGCAAATTCGAGTCTCTATCTCTCCCCACCGAGGCCAAAAAGCGACAAGAGAGAGAAAATCTGATACAAAGAATTGGAGAAAAATTTTCCACTTCCATTATATTGAAAATCAAGGAGGAAGTGGAAATGCAATCATTTCACCCACCACCCATTAGGAAGATGATGATGATGATGATGATATTGTATTAAGCTGCCTGGTGGAAAATGAAATTACATAGATAAACCATTTTTAACATCATCATCATCATAATGATAAGATGATAATGATGAGGATGATAACAGTTCCAGTTACGAGTTACTATTAATACTAATAACAATAACAATGGATGATGAGCAATATGAATGTTACAATTTAGTGGCAAAGGAGTGTCACTGGGAGTTAGTGGGAGTTACTGATGATGATAAATTTTGTTCCATTATGATCAAAGTTATCATCTTTATCCTTCATCCTCTCTCACCCTCTTTCACCATCATCACTTTTCATGTTATTCAGTAGGATGATAACACACAAGAAAAAAACTCCTTCACCTCTTGAGAATTGGGATAAAAAGATTTCACTTAAAATTGGCGCCAATATAAAAAAAAAATAGATGATGAAGATAATGATAAGGATGATAGAAAGTTGGTTTTCTTTTAATATCAACCATTGATTTATCGTAGATGAGAAGAAGAGGAAATTTTCTATTTTTCGAAAAGTTCAATTCTTAAAATTGTGAGAGTAGAAAAAGAAAATCAAAGCAAGAGATTAACATGGAATCGAAAATGATTCCAATTGTTATTCCATATTCTTTTTTCATCCTTATCCTGATGATGATAATGATGATAAGGCTAAATGTTATTAGGAAATGATATCTTTAATGAGGCGAGACTTTAACAGCAAGAATGAAGAGGAAGAGGAAGATGAGGATGAGAAAATAAGAGATTGAAGATATTATGATGATAATAACAATGAAGATGATGACGGAAAGATAATGATAGAATATGATACACACCATGAGAGAGAGAGAATGAGAAAGAGAGAAAGAGAGAAAGGAAGAGATCTAGTAAGAGAATTCACCATATTGAAGAGAAAAGATTCTCTATTAGAACTTTTTTTTTTCTAAGAAAAAAATACAATTCAAACTGAAAAGAAAAACATTCTAATCCAGAAAAATATCATGATAATGTTTCTGACAGATATTAAAATATTACCTTGAGTATCTCAGATGATAATAACCTTTACGAGGACATTCATATAATAGTATCATGAACCAGGAGAGTGGGCGGTGGAATCAGAGGGAGAGAAAATTGGAAAAGTTCTAATCGAAAAACTCTCGAAAAGAATGATAAAAAAAACAATATTCGAGAGGAAGAAAAAAGTTATAACCCAAATATAAACTTCCATCGGGTTGACATAATAACAATGTGAGAGGGAGAGTAGTGAGTGAGTGAGTGAGAGAGAGAGAGAGAGAGAGAGAGAGAGAGAGAGAGAGAGAGAGAGAGAGAGCAATAAAATGTTTGTTTACTTTTAGTGTGTGGGGGTAATAAAAATATTATTTATGATGATAATCATGTTGATTATCGTTGACTGAGTAAACAAGAAGCTGAATTAGAATTGAAATTTTCATCTTTCCTTTAATATAATCAATGTTTACCAAACTATTATGAATATTTACCGATAATCATTATCATCAGTTGCTCATCAATTGTAATAAACTTGATCATTTTTAATGTTTGTTTCAAATTACAATCAAATTGTATTATATTTTTTTCCCCGTTCATTAAAAGCATAAATAATCAACGTAATTATAATCAACTCATACGATGATGATGATGATAATAGAGACAATAATTTGAATATATTAATATGAATATACTTTTATCATTGTATTTCCCTTGACACTTTATCACCACCACGAATCAACTTTCCTGATGATGATAATGATGATAAGGCTCTAGAATTTTATTCTTTTCATCTTCATCTTTTATCCTCATCATTTCCTTTATTATCTCATCATCATCATTATTTTTCCTCATTTTTGTCAACATGAGAGTTGTGGGTGGGGTTCCAGGGGGTGGTGATGATGCTTATCTCCATCTTCATCTTCAACCCTATGAATTATGCAATCGGATTAAGGAAGAAAAAATTTTCTTATTATCATGTTGCTGGTTTTTTTCATCCCTCATCATGGATAAGAGAGAGAGAGAGAGAGAGAGTCGTTGGATTTGTATGATACAATGAGATGATGATAATTATATAGGGATGAAGATGATCATCTATCCCAAAGGATAGATGAAGATGAGGATGATAAATGTAAAAGGAAACTCATGTTGTGGGCTAATCAATAGTTAAGGTATTATTATCATCTTAATCCATAGAAGATCATTTTCTTTTATCTTTTTTCGCCTTGTTTTTATTATCTTCATCTTAATCTTCATCCTTATCATCATCATAATCATCTGATTATCATCTTCATCTTTTAAATACTGTTTGTAGGATTTGGATGATTAAATATTCAATTCGTATTCATTTGGTTTACATGATCAGTAAATACATCAATCTATTCAAGTGAATTAAATGATTAATAATTAATAGACAATAGAAAATATATTTGTGATTCTCTAGTTAATCTGAGTGTTGCCTGATTGTTGATGATTAACTTTAATCACAATTTAAAAGCAATATTATTGTGTTTATTGAGTCTCATTAGTTTAAATTTGATGATTTACTTTTATTATCATTGATAATTATGGTCAGATGATTGTGATCATGATCATGATGATGACCATTGATTTGATTACACTTGAGGATTAATTTGATTTACTCAATTATATTTAAGGTAGTAAACTTTTTAATCAATTGGATTATCATCATAATATTAATATAATTGTTTAAGTTGACAATTAAGTAAACATTTCACTTTTTTTTTGTGTTTCTTCATTATTTACTTTCATGATTATTATTAAGATGCTAATAATAACAATGAACAATTGACAATGATGATAAGATGATGATAAAAATAACGTCTTAATCAATGAAACAATAAGAAACATAAACAATAATCAAAATGATTAACCGTCAGCAGAATCAATTGTTTGTTTATATTTTTTGATTGTTTTCTGTTTGAAAAACTTTGATTTCAAGGAGAAATGATGATGACGAAGATGAAGATGATTTAGTGAATTAGATTATCGATTTTGTAATCATGGTGACAAAATTTTGATTCCACTTCCGCATCCTCCTTGGAGGTGGAAATAGGATTGGTATAAGTTACCATTTTATCATAATCAACATTATGATAAATTATTTTGATTAGATTATGATGATGATGATGATGATGATGATGCCCGAGGTGGAGGAGGAGGATGAGGATGAAGATGAAGAGGAGGCTAGGGAGATGGAAAGATGAGCAAATGATATTTTCTAATATGAAAATTGTTACAATTTCGAGTGTTAATCAATGATGATGATGACGATGATTAGATGAGACTGTCAATTAACTGACTTGAGGTCGAAAAGAAAATCTTATTGACCAACCTCTCCTTTCTTAGTGCACATCATCCTACTCTTGATTATCATCATCCGAGTCCATAGATGATGATGATGATAAAGTCAATAGTAACTCCTACGGAAATGTCACTAATGAAGGATGATGAAGATGATTAAGATTAAGATAAAGGCGGGAACACCTTGTAAGGTAAAAGAAGTAGAAAAAAAGTAAGAAATTGATTCAAGATGATGATAACATTTCATCTTCATCTCTCTGGTTGACCTTTTTTCTTTTTTTCATCAAGAGATTGACCTTCAACCTGTGTCAATGTAATTGAAGAAAAAAAAATAAAATTCATATCATCAAATTGATAAACATTCGAGTTGATCTTCATCTTCATCTCTTTATCTTCATCCTGGTAACACATTGAATAACATCATCATCAGTTTTTCATAATATGTAAGTCACAAGGTTACATAAAAGTCATATTGAAAAGGTCACTCATCGAGGTCAGGGGTCATATGAAAGTAGTTTGTACCTTTTTTTATCCATACATTTCAAGAGTGCAAAAAGATTAGGACTTTTTTTTGTTATCGAAATCATCATCATCATCATAATCGTTGATTGTAATTTATTGATGAGGATGATGAGCAAAAAGGAGGAGGATGATTGTGAGAGAGTGAGAGATGAAAATGATGATGATGATGATGATGATTTTGGAGGATCATTTTTGATGAGTAAAAAAAGAGATGGAGGGAAATCAGTTAATATATTAAATCGTATGAGATGTTGATGAAGAGTCGGAGGGAAGATGAAGGTGAAGAGAGTGAGAGAGTGAGTGGCTTTTCCCTCCGTGTAAAAAATACAAGGGCGGATAATCGGATGTGTAGATGAGGGTGGAGGGTGGAAAGGTCAAGAAAGGTTTACAAATCTCATGTTGACCTGACAGAGCAAAAAAAAACATGTCGATGAAATTGTAACATTGTGAATGTTTTATGTCTCGTTATTTTTTGTTTGATGCTCGGACTTGATGATGAGGATGAACATCATCATCTTGATCCTCATAGTTAATTCATTATGAAGATGAGAATCATCTTGGTAACATATGTGTCTATGTTTTGATGATGATGATGATAACGGATGTTGATGAAACTGTCAAAATTGATCAACATCAGCTGGAGTAACTAAATCGGTTAATCATCAATGATGATGATGAAATTTGATTTGATATTTTGTTTTTTTAAAAATTTCCATCCTTGGGTTTACCTTATTTCTTGTAATATATTATTGGTAAAATATTTACATGGGAAAATAAATTAGCTGCCTTAA